GAAAGGGTACTAGTATAATTAGAAAAGGAATCAAAAGATTACTATTATTATGATAATAAGCTTTTTAATTATATTTTTCAAACAATTTAATTTGTGACTAATCATCAAGTCAACTAAAACTATTTATTTCAATTTGAGAGAGCAAGTCCTTTTATACATGTTTTTGAATACAAATATTACTATGATATTACTAATTAATACTATTTAATATATATATTTTGTAATCTTAAATTAAGATTTTCAGATTAAGATTTTGAAATCAAAATTTTGAAATCAAAATTTTGAAATCAGATTTTTGTATAATATAAATATTTTCACCATTTGATATTTTGGATTACATATAAACAATATAAAAGAAGAAATAAAATATAAAAGAAAGAATCTATAAATGTATTAACTAATTAATCTATATAATATTACTAAATATACTTATATATGTGAAATATTAATATTAATGTAAGATATTTGTGATCAAAATTGTAAACTTCAGATTTAGGGTGATAAAAGTATATAAAAATAAGAAAAAGAGAATAAATATAATATTTAGAATATAAATATAAGATTTAGAGTAATAAAATAAAAGCAAGATAATTATACAATTGGATAAAAATAATGATAATTAGATAATAAATTGTAAAAATTAAGAAAAAGAAAATTTCATATAATCAAAAAAAGTTTATTGAATTATAGAAATTTATATTACTATGTAACAATATATCATTTATTTCTATTATTTTTATATTTATTTTTGATATTAAATTAATTAACTATTTATAATAATCAATTTTAATACTTTTTCAAGCTATTTGCAACTTTTTTCACAAATTATTTTTATTCAAAAATGAATCAGAATATTATATATATGTATATCAATCTTATTTCACAAATTTTCAATAAAATTTAAGTCAAGTAACTGAATAAAACATTAAGCAAGCTAATTTTATTATTAATAATTGCTATCATTCTTTTTGGATCTGTGCTTAGAATTATTATCTTGCTAAAAGACAAATTCACTATCTTTTATAAATTATATTTAAGAAGTTATTATTTAATATGTTAATATAAATATTAACATCCATCTTACTATTAATTTTTCAAAGTTCTCCAATTTGACTAGCAGTCAAATAACCTCAAATTATAATGAAATCATCATTATATTTTATAATTGGTATTATATAATAATTTTTTAGTTGTTCACCAGATTTTTTCCAATACCATTTTCATTTATTTAATCGAAATATTTTGAATTTGCTTTTTATTAAACCAAATTATTTATGTTATTCATTAAGTATTCAATTTCAGTATTTTTTGTCCATGCCAATTGATAGTTTTTATATATTTCTTTGAGTAAAGTTTTTTTCTGTGTAATTCTTGTGAATAAACTACAGTATTTCTTCTTAATAAATGTCATATCTTTTAGAGAAATTATATTGAACTAATGCTATTTACAAACTGTATATTCTTCTTATTAGAGTGTATACGCGGATGCATTTTCTAATGAGACACAAGATATTTTTAAAATCAAAAATGGTTAAATTGTTGTTTATAATAGTAAATAATTTTTTATGAAAATTAAAAGTTGAAAAAGAATGTTTCTTGACTTATTTTTATAAGCTTCTATTTTTCATCCAAGTCAATTATATTAAATGAAACATTAAAAAAAGTTAAAAAATTATTTGTCTACGAAGTGATAGATCGATGAAAATAAAAATTGTATTTAGTGATAATAACTATTTTAATGAATAAAATTAGCTAGATTTGATTTGTTCATAATTCTTCGATGGCGAGATATTTAAATCTCGCCATTTTTTTTCAGCGTTTCATAACATTAGTGAGTCATTATAATTACAATAAAGAATTGACTTTGAAAGAAAAGTTAGGAGATTATCAGATAACTCACAAAATGGGATAATTTGCACACTACCGCTACGTAGAAATACATACATTAATGCAATACGTATATTTCATGTACAATTATTCATTGTATTGATTTTGGACTTACCAGCATATATTAAAAAAGCTAATCAAGAAATTTATGGTGTACTTCACTTGTATTAGTCCAGAGATGCTAAATGGAAAGTGATGCAGATTTTATAGGTTGGAATGATTATTGAAATTATAATAGACAAACGACCATTCGGTGAGCGGAACCATGATAAGTATCTTGTGTGCGAGATCTATAATGGAGTATGACCTACGATGCCAAATTATATTCCCAAAAAAAACAGACAAACTGCTAAGGAACTTTATTATGTAGAAACGAACAGTATAGTTTGTATCTTCAGTACTACAGCTCTTCAGAAGTAGAAAAAATTAAAAGAGCCTTGAATTAGAAATGTAGGAATTCGACGAGCTTGATGAAAGATGAAATAATTTCTACAAATATAAACACAAAAAAAAAGTCCATCCGAATGTAGTTATACCAGTTGAATCTTTACCACCAAATTAATTTCAGTTCCAAATGATACAGGTAATTTTAATATCTCTAGATTTAATTTGTATTTACACTTTTGGATATTTAGGCTCTATAAGTGATAGTTTGTTCCGAATGCTCATAATGAATGTAAGGTCACGATTTAATATAATAGTTTCATCAATTTCGTTAATTCTTACTAGTGTTCTTTGGTCGTGCAAGAAGCGACTGTCGAAATCGATAACGATAATAAAAACAAGACACAAGATCCAAATGAAGATTTAGTGTCAGCATCAACAATAACTGCATAACAAGAAATTACTCGACACAATTTAATTATTACGCAACACAAAGAAAAAGTTCAAGAATTGCATGAGAAGATACAAAAACGAGGAGCAGCAATAAAAACAAAGACAAGAGAAAGAACAAGCTCTTCAAAAAGAAATTAAGAAGTAAATTTTAAACGGAATTAATCAACAAGAAAAAAAATGAGCTAGATAACTTTAATGAAAAACAAACGTATAATCAGACCTCCTTATTGGAAACAATTCAACAAGAAATGAAAGAAAGAGAGATTGAATACGAGAATGCTTTGACAAGATACTAATAACAAATGAACCAAATTGATGGAGAAGGAAAGTGAATTAAAAGTTAAAATGGCAATAGAACAGAAAGAAGTAGAGATTAAACTGAGGTTGGAATGTACGTAAAGAATCTTATGAAATAATTGAAAATTATTATGTAGAGAATTTGAACTTGAAAAGGAAATTTAACATTAGAATTGGAAAATTAGCGGGAATAAATTTATTGTATTTTCATATTTATTTTTTATTTAATTGTTTAATACTTTGACGTGTCAATATGTTAATATCGATATGCACAAAAAGTTAGATCATTGTACAATAAATTTAGTCAAATTTAAAGTATAAGTACACTAACTGGACAAAGTCTTGAACCACATTTTAAATGCATATATTTGCTTATCATTAAATAATAAACACAATTTTTTGTCGGATATTCTTTTTTAAATCGGAATAGATTGGGAATTACTGCAAAGATTTCTAAGTTTTTGAACTTGAAATGAGCAGAATCCAAAATATTACCGAATCTGATGATACGAAGCAAAAATATGCATTTTAAGACTTCTGTCTGTTAGTGTAGTAACATTTTTTTCCAACAAAAAACAATGTTCTTTGATATCGTTTTACCAAAAAGAATTAAGTTATGTCTTTGTAATAGTATAAATCATTTTATACTCACAATTGCTTTATTTTGGTGACAATGGGAAGCATAAATGATATTAAAAATTAATAAAAAAATTTATTTAGACAAGCAATTGGTATTTGTGATTATCTTGTATTGCGAGAGTGAAATTTCCTTCTTATTTGCTATATACATGTATTTTGTTAAATCAATGTACATGTATTATTTCAATGAATTATTTTCAATAAATAACGATATTAAATGTACATATACATGTATAAATAAACAACTTACGTACATCTTTGTGTTGCCAAAATAGAGGCAGTTTCTTAAGTACATGTACATGTACGTACGTACGTACTGTACGTATTTTTAATGTTGAACGTTAAGAAATACGCAGAAAATGTGCAACAAAGTACATGTAATACATGTTCGACAGGAGAAAATCCCTCCTTGATTACACATGTACTACGAACCAGAATATGTGCGTATAGTGTAACAATAACAACATGATCTCTTTATTGTGCGAAAACAGACCTACCGTTAACGTCGTCGTCTTTAAAAAAAGCGCGCACATAAATTGTTTTTCAAAACATAAAAATGTCTGAAATTAACAAAAAAAAGATATCAATAGAAGAAATCGAACGAGCACACCTCGAAACAATTTCAACCTTCCCGTTTTTATTCATTCCATCAAAAAAAACAAGAATAATTGTAAATTCTCGAGATACCGCGTTCAATAACGATGATTCGGGAAATAATCTAAATGTAGAATGCAGCCCAACTAATAAAGAAAGGATCCAAAAACAATCTTTTGAAACAGAAAAGAACGCAGTAGGATTAGCCACAAAAATAGGAACAGAAGGGATTCTGATATCATCAGCTTCATATACAACGAAAGGCGCAAATATAAATAAGAATCATAAGTTGTTTAAAGTAAATTATTCGGAAGAATTGGATTATAATTTATCATCATTCAGAGCAACAAATTCAGTTGAAAACGATCTTAATTTATCTAGTGAAAATGACGATGAAATCAAGAATCAATTACAACAAATTGACACTGAACAGCTGGGAAAAACAATA